GCGACTCTGAATAAGCTTTAATGGGCTCGTCCGGCGACGGGGGTCCCGGGCATCGGGCCGAGCGCTGCCCCGGGTGGATGGGCCGGGCTGCCACCGCGAGCGGCCCAGGCATGGGGCAGGTGCGTCACGGGCAGGGCGTCATGCTGTAGAGGGAGTGGACTTGCTTGGAAAGGCTGGGCGAGGCGCTGCCCAGGCCGGCAGCGCGGGCGGGCGCCTTCTCCCCGAGCTGCTTGTTGGTCATGTAGGCGCTGGCCGAGAAGCCCGAGCCGGGCTTGCGGAAGTTGGGCAGGTGGTGGAAGGGCTGCAGGGTGGTCAGCAGGCTGGGCCGGTAGAGCGAGAGGCGCGGCGGGCGCTCCGTCTTGCGCGGCGAGGGCAGCTGCAGCACGCAGTTGGCTGGCGTGACCGGCGGGCTCTTCTTCTCAGCTTTGGCCCGGGGCGGGAAAGCGCCCGCGGCCGAGGAGGCGCGGGTGGGCGGCAGGACCTTGCTCTCCTTGGCCGGGCCCTCGGGGCTCTTGGCGGGGCTCTCGAGGTCCGGCAGCTGGGCCGAAGGGCTGCCAACGTCGCCTGCAACAGGAAGGGATGGAGGGGGCGCTGGGTCACGGGCTGGGACTGGGACCGCTGCCGTCGAGGGCCCCGCCCTCCCCGCCTCCGGCTGGCCCTGAAAGGAGGCACCCGAGGCTCAAACGGCCCCTTCGCCCAGAGGGACCCGCGGCGGCTTGTCCCAGAGCGTCTCTCTTCGGCCGCCTCTCCAGTACCTGGTGCCGTCTGAGGCTTCTCTTGGCCCATGGAGCACTCCGGATGGACTCCCATGGAGCTCATCACCCGGTGGAAGATGGCCGAGGTAGCCGGGAGCATCCAGCGGTGCGTGGCCACCTGCTGCAACCCCAGTCGGGCCGCCGGCTTCAGCTGCAACAGGCCCTCGATGAGATTCTGGCATTCTGGAGAGAGGGAGGGGCGAGGAGGGGAGGGGGAGGGAGAAGACATGCTTGGCCACCCCTTCCCACCTGCTCCTCCTGGGGGATGCTGCGCAGAGGCAGGCTGGCCTGAGAACCAGCTGTGCGTTGACCTGGCACATTTCCCCAGCACCTGGAATTCAGGGCTAGAGGAGCCTGGAGCTTCTCCCCCATCCAGGCCACGCTTGTTTCTGCTGTCTCTGCTTCCTTCCCTTTGAAGACTTTCCCTCTGGCCCTGCGGCCCCCTCTGTGGAAGGGAATTCCTGGGCTTTGGAGGTCCCCAGCAGACCAGAGCCCTTCCCACTGCCTCAGGGCCAGCTTCCCCCTCTCCCCGGCTGCCATCCCCAGGCTTCTCTTCCTCCTGGTTTTACGGGGATTGCCGAGGACGAGGGCCGCTTGTGGGTCTGAGCCCAAACCCTTTCCTGGCAGCAGAGGGAAGAGCCAGCTTCCTCTACCAACGCTGTTGTGTGCGGGCACAGGTTGAGGGCCCAGGCAGAGTCGTTCCCCGTCCATTGGGCGGGGCAGATGGGGACGAAGAGCCCCCCTGCCTCCGGCTGAGCCCCTGGGGGTCTGGAGGGGTGAGGCGTCCCCTCCTACCTGGTGAGATCGGCTGCCGGAAGGCCAGGCCCTGCTTGATGACGTGGATCATCTTGTGCGGCTGGCGCTCCTTGAAGGGGAGCTTCCCTGTCACCATGGCGTAGAGGATCACCCCACTGTGCGAGAGGAGAGGGTCAGGGGGGGCCTCCGGGTGAGCCTGGGTCCCAGTCGCCTTTGCCCCACCCCCACCCCCTCCGCCGTGCTCACAGGCTCCATAGGTCAGCCAGCTCCCCATTGTATTTCTTGCTCATGAGGATCTCGGGGGCGGTGTAGGCCACAGAGCCACAGAAGGTGCTCATCAGAGAATTCTTCAAGGAGTAGCGGTTGGCAAAGCCGAAATCTGCAAGGGGGGGGAGCCGTCAGCTTCTCCAATGGGCCCCCAGCCCAGCCCCCCCCCTGGTATAAGAGGGGCAGACTAGGAGAAACAAGGGGGCTTGGCAGGGTGCAGAGCAATAAAAAGACGGTGGAAGGGGGGCCCAGGCGAAACTCAGAATCACAGCATTACGGAAGAACAGGGTTGGAAGGGACCTTGGAGGTCGTCTAGTCCAACCTCTTACTCAAGCAGGAGACCCTCTACCACTTCCGGACAAATGGCTGTCTAATCTCTTCTTGAAAGAGAGGCTCGATGGAGGTTTTCAAGAAGAGATTGGACAGCCATTGATGGATCCTCTGCCACCACCTCTGGTGGCAAGCAGTTCCACTGATGAATTGTTCTCACTGCCAGGAAATTCCTCCTTAGTTCTAGGCTGCTTCTCTCCTTGATTACTTTCCATCTGTTGCCTCTTGCCCTGCCTTCTGGCGCTTTGGAGAAGAGGTTGACCCCGCTCCTCTTTGGGGCAGCCCCTCAGATCCTGCCCTGAGATGCGAACTGAACTCTTGACAAGGTGTTAAGCCAGAGTGGTGAGGACAGTTACGGTGCCTCTACGTTCCCCAAGTCCACAGCGCTTCCCGGACTAGCTCTCTTCCTTGGGGACCGGATCTTGCCTGCTGAAAGCAGACACTGCAGGATCCGATCTCTGCCCGAGAGTTGTCCCTGAGGCAGGGAAACCCCTCTTGCCTTTAAAGACAACCACAGCTGGAGGCAGGAAGCCCGGATCACCTGGGCTCACCTGGGGAGGGTGCCCTGTTGATCCCTGGGGCTGCTCTGCGCTGTTCTGCAACCCTGGTGCCTTATCCTGCAGGTGGCAGAACGCGGCCATCCCATTCTCTCCTCCCGCGGGAAGGAAACTCACCTGTCAGTTTAATGAAGCCACGTTCATCCAATAAAATGTTCTCACACTTCAAGTCTCTGTGGGGGAAAGAAGAAGAGTCCCATGGGTTGGCCAGCATGGAGCCTTCTTCCCTTGCTTATCCAGCCAGGGTTCAGGGACAGCCTGGCCCAGGATTTGGGTCTCCCCCTGCCTAGCAGGCATCTCCGGAGGTGGCCAGGAGGGGTTTCTTTCCCACAGCAACTTCTCAGGAGCTGGAATCAGCGGGATGCCGCCCACGGAATCACCTGGATTTTGGCTTATGACCCCACACAGCTTGCTTCATTGCCACTGTAGAAATAATCATTAGCCCAGTGGCTACACCAGTGTTTCTCAACCTTGGCCACTTGAAGATGCCCGGACTTCAACTCCCAGAATTCCCCAGCCAGCGCATGCTGGCTGGGGAATTCTGGGAGGTGACGTCTGGGCATCTTCAAGTGGCCAAGGTTGAGAAACACTGGGCTACGCCGTGACTTGGCTTCTGACCACAGAGGCTCGCGGGTCACGGCCAAAATTCTGGGCTCAGCTGCGGGTGCAAAGGAGAGGTACCCGGAGCCTTCCCC